CATCGTCTCATCCACGCATTGAGACTCCTGATCTGTGCCTGTCTCTCCGGCCCTGCGCGTGGAACAGGTAGCATTTCTGAGAAGGCTACCTTGGAGGTCCTGGACCTAAGTTTCCTGCCCAGCAGCCTAAATTTCTCCTCCAGGACCTCACGACTGCATTTCCCCACATCGTTGGAGCCGACATGCACCACGACCACTGGCTCCTCCCCAGCACTATCTACCAGCCTATCTAAAACACGCGTAATGTCCGCTACCTTCGCACCAGGCAGGCAAGTCACCATACGGTCAGTATGCGGGTTCGCCACCCAGCTATCTACCTGCCTAAGGATCGAATCACCCACTACCAAGAGCCCCCCTCCCACCCTACCCAGGGATGGTTCCTTGGTGCAAAAGGATACCCGCTCACCAGCTGGGGAAGGGGTCCCTTCTGAGGGCACATTCCCCTTATCCTCAGCACGGTGCCCTGTTTCCCCTAGACCCTCATGCTCCCTAACAGCAGCGGGGCTGCCAGATCCAGAGTGGGACGTATCTAACAAGTCCCTGAGAGTCTTTTCTGTGCACCTGTCTCTGCTTCTCCAAGTCAGCCACCTTGGCCTCAAGGGAGCACACACGTTCCCTGAGAACCAGGAGCTCCTTGCACCGAGCACACACCCAAGACTTCTGTCCAGTGGGCAGATAGTCATACATGTGACACTCCGTGCAAAACACTGGATAGCCCCCAACCCCCTGCTGGCATTCTGGCTTCATAATTCTTTTTAAAATAAGTAAATATAACCCCCCTTTTAAAACCCTTTTGTATTTATGTGGTTTTTCTTGTCAAAGTCAAATTGCTTTACGGGGAAGACAAAGAGCCTAGGGCCTTCGCTTTCTGGCTCTTCTTGGGCGTCTCACATAGCCCCTAGGCTAAGAGCCACAGGCAAAGAGCCCTTTAGCTCGCCCTTCGGCTCGTGCCAGAGGCTCGTACCTCTGTCAAGGGGGTTTCTTAAATACCAAAGTACAGTCAATCACAGTCAAACAATGCCCCTTTCTCTCCCTCTCTCAAGCAGCCAGGACTCTGCAACAACTCTAAGCACTTTCACACCCTCCCAGACCAGTCCCAGACCAGTTCTCCCACACAATATCCTCAGCTGAATCCCCTCAGCTGAAAGCAAGTAAAAAGAAAAACTCTAGCACCTCTGCCTCCTGCTCCGAGCTCAGCTGGGTCTCCTCTAGTTTTAAAACTAGAACAACTTTAACAAGATGAACATATGTGTTTGGAGCTATTTTAGTTATATAAATTTACTGCTGTTGAACTAGATTATTGCTTTGGTAGTCTTTGCTGAATTTTAGTCATGGAAAGAAAGAGATGTGAAAGTTTTAAACTCAAGGCAGCTAACAATGCAACAAGTTGTAGGATGTAAAAACAAGTTTAAAGAATATAAATACACACACACACACATTCAATAAATACAAAGATTAAAAACATATCCAGAATAAAGCCACAGTCAATTCTACCAAAGCAGTTTACCCTCCATTAAGCAGAACTGCCTTGCAGGCCTTCCTTGATGTAGCTGATGAGGGTGCTGTTTGCATTCACTATGGTAGGCCTTTTCCAAAGGACTGGATCCTTCTATGGAGAAAGCCTCTGACCTTGTAGCTGCCATTTAGACAATCCTAAAAGAGAATGTAACGCTGTGTTTTGTACCAGTTGAAGCTTTCGAGCCATCTTTCAGTTATGAATTGATTGCCAGCTCTGGGTTGGGAAATACCTGGAGATTTTGGGGGTGGGGGCCTCAGCAGGATATAATGTCAAAGAACCCATCTTCTAAAGCAGCCATTTTCTCCAAGAGAACTGATCTTGTTTGTCTAGAAATCAACTATAAACTGAGAGATCTCCAGGTGCTACCTGGAGACTGGCACCCTACTTCTAGTGCAGCCCTACACAGACCACATTACACTAGTATTTTATTTATTTATTTTTCGCATTTATACCCCGCCCTCCCCGATAGGCTCAGGGCGGCTTACAGAGGCAAGGCAAAACCTTGCCATAATAAAAACATAATATACATAATGAATTTAAAACATATAATAAATCTTAAAAACATCCCGAATTAAAACATGGTGCTCAATAACTTGCATAATTCCAGAGATGGCAGATCATAGGTCCGAAGTTCCGAGTGGTACATCCCACAGCTCAATATTAAGATGTTTCTTCAGGGCTTCATCCAAAACAAGGCGGTGGTGGTATAGTAGGGGCGGTGGCTCCTACTCAAAGGCCTGGCGGAAGAGCTCCATCTTGCAGGCCTTACGGAACTGCATAATTTATTTATTTATTAGATTTTTATCCCGCCCTCCCGCCGAAGCGGGGCCCGGATCTCCCCTGGGAGCTCATTCCACCAGGTAGGAGCCGCCACCGAAAAAGCCTTGGTCCTAGTAGCAGCCAGCTTGGTATCCTTGGGGCCCGGGATGGCTAACAAATTTTGGGCCCCTGACCGTAGTGCTCTTGGGGGAACATACGGGTAAAGGCGGTCCCTCAGGTACATTTTGTAGGTAACATAGGCTAGCCTAGCTAGATTGGAAGCGTGTAAATAGGGGCCAGTTTACACATTACATGGAATTGAAAAAAAGGTATTCCTAACAACAGCACCAACATGTTTATCAATAAGACTGGGGCAAGCACCCAAGTTCTTAACTGTATTGAGGAGAGGTTAGAAAAATGCCAAAGTAACCACTTCCACTCATTTGCTGGTAATGACCTTTATTGAAAGCTCAGCATTCTATTTCTAGGCGGGTTCACTCTTAACTCTGATGTGTATTACAGGTTGTATGATTGTGGGATGGCCATGTTACAGACAGACACTGTGGTGAACTGTAAATGGTTAGTGATGTGACCTGGGCTGAGAAGGATAGAGGATTCAGATAGAATTCTTCAGCTAACTATGTCAGGAGTTGGAAAGCAAAGCAGACTGTGAGAGGAACAAGAAGGCTCCTGAGTTAGGGCAGTGGGATACATAACCCATCCCTGACAAGTCTGAGGGAAACAGCTCCTACAAGATAGGGGTGGGGTTTGATCCCTAGCCAGTGGATAAGGAAGGAAACTGGAACTTGTGTGAATAGTCCTGCCTTTGCAACTTTAATGTCTGTGAAACCAAGAAGCTTATGCCTGTTTATGTAAGCAGAGACTGCCAAGAAAACTCTCTCCTCAATATATTTCACTCTGTGCTACCATCAAGCTTGAGCCAGTTTTTATATATAAATCTGCAAATTTCTCATCCTAAACTTCCCAGAGAGAGATCCAGCCATAATTTGACTGTACAAACTTGTGACAGAGACAACTGCTTTAAATTAGACATTCCTGTCCATTGACCAAATATCAGTACACAAGCCTTGGACCCCCATGCAGACAATAAACATGACTCAATGATAACTTTTATAATCCTTAATTTTAAAGGTCAGACTTTCACATAGCAATCAAGGCCACCTTCCCTAAGGTAATGTAATTGTAATGAAGGACAAAATGCTGTACACTTTTCATCCGTGTGAGCCTTACATTAGTTGAACAGAGCTCTCTGCATTTTACAGGAGAACTTAGAAAATCTCAAACCAGGTTTTCTTGAAAAGTACAGCAGACTGCCAGGACTCTTAACTACTGAACACAACGTTTATATAGAAATTTCACATCCTTAAAAAAATACACTTTTATGAAACAAAATCTTCATGATAACAGACTTAGGAATAATCTTCAGGTAGTCAAAATGCAAGCAAATTATGTTTTGGGTACCATCTTTGAAGCGATCCAACGCTTTGTAAAGTGCTTGGCTTTTTGTTTTTTCTTTTTACCTGTTAGAAAAGGACAGACAATTGATTATTGAACCTTGAAGCTGCCTTGTACAGAAACAGGCCATTGATCTGTCTACTCAGACTGCCAGTGGTTCTTCAGGAGAAGGTCTCTCTCAACACTTACTACCTGATATTTTAAACTAAGATGCCGGGGATTCAGCCTGGGACCTTGTGCGTGTAATGAGACAGCAAATGAGATAATAAAACCAAGTCTATAAAAATGGGGACAGATGGACACAAATAGAGAAGTCTAAAATGAAATTGATAAAAACCATTCTCAAACCAGGAGCATTCCATAAAAGAGCTAAAGAACCCCTTAGTTAAAAGCTTGAGTAAAGGGAAATGTTTGGGCCTGGTACCCAAAGGAAAGGAAAGTATGAGGCAGGTGAGCTTCAGTTCAGTGGGAAGGCATTCCAAAGGCAAGGTGCCACCACCAGGTTAGGTTCTGAGAAAACAAGACTGAAATCCCACTCTGCCATGGATGGCTGTCAGGCCAGCCATTCTCTCTCAGCCTAACAGGGTTGTTACGACGATAACATGGAGACAGGGAGAGCAATGTTGTTGGCTGATCTGGGAGCACAAATAGCGACTCCTGTCTCTAGTTGCCCCCCCACCTTAGCTGTACAGATGGGGGCACAGAGAACAGAAGTTGAAGAGGATCTTAAGTGTCTTCCATGTCGAACTGCTAAACACCTAGTGCAATACCACCACTCCAAAGGCTACTTCAAATGGTTTCTGAGCAGCTTGCATATGGATCACAGCATCTTTCTCCCAACAGCCACAAGAAAGGTAACATGAACTCACCCCAAGAATTAACAACAAACTGGATTGCAGCTTTTTTAACTGTATTCTTCTTGTTTTCAAGAGAAAAATACTTGTTTGCTGAAAAAGGAAGAAAAAAAATTACTCAAGCCGTGTGTGTAGCTAAACCAAGAAGTTTTTCCAATCCATCAAGAGAGTTTACCTGTAGTTCGGTTGCTATTGCCTCCGTAGAGCTGCCTTTGTACGAACTCTCTGGCTGCTTGCTGCTGCCTGTTAGCTAACGCTTGGTCTTTTAGCTGCACTGCCTTATAGCTTTGCTGGAGCCTAGTCACCAAAAACAGATTAGAAGTGGTATGCGTCACAGCCAATATTTTGCTGAATTTACTCCTCTTAATTGAGCTATCCTAAATTTTTCCTATTGTTTGTTAAGAATGGTTGTAGTAACTAGCGTTTCTTCCTAGATTACACAACCTCACTTATGAATGATAGAAACCTTTTCATGATTTACTGTGCTTGTTCATCAACCCTTCATATTGTCTATTCTCATGAGCAGCACCTCTTAAAGTTATCTGGTACATACCAATATTTCTTCTTTAATAACTTAGTTGGACTTTTGCCACCAATTAATGCTTATGGGAAGACAAGGGTACAGTTAGTTAGATGTGCATGCAAAGAAGAGCACAGTAGCATTGGGCTTCCCCCCCTCCCCAAAGTAATCTGACACACTAAACAATTACTGAGCTTCATACCTATCTGCCAACGTTTCTTCGTCATTGTCTTCCATCACACTTTCACTTTCAGACTCATCTTCAATATTCTGATCTATAAAAATAATGATACTCATAAAAATTACATTTCACAACTACTATCAGCACAATTTATACAAGAGTAAACAAAATTAATTTCAACTACACTTAAATAAGATTATTCTATAGACATTTGGAAGCTTATTAAATTCAGGGGGAAGAGAAGCTACCAAGTCCAGAAATACCCATTATCAGAAAAAGGTACACTGGGCTTTAAGCTGAGTAGAGATGTGAGTTATAAACAACTCATTATCCTCACGTGACAAAAGATGTGAACAAGACAGAGTTAAAACACAGCACCAGCTATTAATGGTCAGCATATTTCACAGGCGCTGTCTGGTACAGTTAATTCAATACTGGATGTGTGATACAAATGTGCAATGAAAGTAATTCAGCGCCACATAACTTTATACATACCTTGCTCAGCTGTGTCAGATGGCTTGTTATTGCTAAAGAAAGAAAAGCTCTATTTAGGATGATCCTATGTAACAATCTTCCTGACAGGCAACTATTCAAGTATCTATCAACAGCACAAACTAACAGGGAATGATAAAAACATTCAATCTTTTTACATTCATTGTTAAGTACAGTTAATAGATGTGCTTGCCCATGATTAATTTAATTGAAAAATTATTTCATGAAAGTTCCTGCACATGTTTGAAGACTGAAATACCCACTTCCCTGTCATTTTATTTACATAATTTTTAAAAAAGAACTCTATATGGCTTCTGCCGTTTCAATAACAGTATCCCCCCTTCTCTTTCCTGATCACACTGCAAACTGCTTTTGCGGTTCAAAAGTAGCTTCCCATGGACCTGGGGGAGCAGGTAGCTGTGTAAAGTCAATAAGGGAGAGTCAAAAGCCTCACATGGAGTATGTGGTGTTAGCCAGCATTCTCTGACTGATGGCTAAAAAGAGTTCCAGAATGAGAAGTTGGAGTGTTCATTTGTGCTCTGTTTGTTTATTGCATTTATAGTCTGCCTTTCACATTGAGACTTAAACTTGATTACAGAATTAAATCGATGCAATAAGAACACTATAAACCATCCAACCAACACTGGATAAAATTGGATTACAGCATGGGAGAACGAAGCACTAAAAACAGCAGAAAATAAACAAAGCAATGAAAACCACTTAAAATTCCTCAGACATCAACTACAACCTTATTTCCCATTATAAAAATGCCCTCCTGGACAACTGTTTTGCTTACCTGTCCTGTGGGGATGATGCCAACTCCTCTAGCACATTTGCAGGAAGTAGTTTTTTTTTCTAGAAAGAATAAACTTTTGCAAGTCAAGTTTTTCCGTAAACCTGATGAAATTGCCAAACTATCAATCTGAAAGCAGTAATTACTGTATTTATTTAAAACATTTTATGGTGCCTTTTCTACCCAAGTTATGGTCCCCAAGGGCAGGAACACATGGGAGATGGCCCTGGTCCCATGCCATTCCTGGCTTTAAAGGACAACGCTAACACCTTGAACTGGGCTCAGGAGGAGATTAGGAGCCAGGGTAATTGATGTAGTATTGGGGTCACATGCTCCTGGTAGTCCCAACCAGCAATCTAGCTGCAGTTTCTGAATGCTCTTCACATGAACACACTGCAGTAGTCCAGCCTAGATGCAACCGGATCTAGATGTAACTAAGACAAGGATCACTGTGGCTAGATCTGACAGAGCCAGGAACGGGTGCAGCTAATGCACCAACTGAACTACAGCACCCACCTGGTTTTCTAAGGTGACTGCTGTGTGTCAAGCAGCACTCCAAAACTGTAAACCTGGCTTTACAATCCCATCCAAGACAGAAGAGATCTCAAATCCCTGGTCTGCCTTTCTGTTATCCCAGAAAACCCCTCTCTTGTCAGAATTAAGTTTCAGCTTGTTCACCCTCATCCAGCCCATTAATGACTCCAAGCACCAGCTGAGATAATCAACCACTTCCTTGGAATTAGGTGGGAAAGAAAGGTAGAGCTGGGTGTCATCTCTGTGTTGGTGGTGCTGCAGCCCAAACTGCCTGATGACCTCTCCCAGTGGCTTCATACAGATATTAAATAGAGAACTGATGCTAGATTTTATGTGTAGACTGCTGTCATCTATTGCAAATGAAGTAAGGAAGCTGACTAAAACCATATAAACCAGTACAGTTAAACTTTATGTTTAAAAAGTACAGAAAACCTATTGTTTATTTTACTCATGTTGACCCTGTCCTTACTCCAAGGTGCTCAGGGTGGTATAAAAATTTTCCCATCCCCCATTTTATCCTTGAGGTATCCTTTATCCCCATGAAGTGTGTGTGTGTGTGTATCAGTTATAAAGTCAGTTTACAAATACATTGCAAGAGAAAAACTACAGAATGCCTAGAGATAAAACGGCCATGACAGATTTCTGTTTTGTGGTGAGCAAATGCAGAACTTTTATGGGATGTTGGTACACAATAAAAACATAATGGATTAATTTGAGGAGACAGCAGTATTACCTTTTGTTCTTTAAATAATTCTTCCCTTTGTCGCCTCTTCTCTTTCAAGGCAGATTTTTCTCTAACAAAGCAACAAAAAAAAAGAGTGCTTGGGGGAGAAAAATCAAAGTGTGATTGCTTGCAGCCAAGAAGGAACATCTGCACTGAGTCTCTACACAGCTGCTTTACTACCTAAAACTTGGGAGATATGAAAATAGTGCCCAAGTATTTCCTAACCTAATTTGCTTCTGGGTCAGATTAAAGGTACTGGTTGTTATCTATGAAGCCCTACATGGCTTGGGACCTGCATACCATCTTTCCCCCTGTGAGCCCATGTGCCAACTCAGACTTTCCACCCCTGAAGTCCGTAATATATGACAAAGCTGAAGCACATTTCTTTCTGGCCAAACCAACCATTCTTTCAAACAGCCTGACAGAAGAGATCAGGATAATTCCCACTCTGGAGCAATTCCAGAGACTCAGAAGGTCTCCTTCAGAGGCTTTTGAGGGCAACTGAACTGAAACTGTATGTGTACAGTTTAGTGTGTGCAGATGAACTTAGGGCCATTCTTCTGTCTTGTTCAAAATTTCAGGTTTTAATTTGTTTGTGCAGTGTGGGTTGCACCTGCAAACACAAGCTGCAAGAAGCCATAGTTTGAAAAGTGTGGTGGAGGTGGGGCGGTTATGTAACTGAAGAGACGTCAAACGAGGACCCGTGGATTATGAAGAAGACATCTGCATGTTTACAAGTGTTACAATCGTCTGTGCCAAGCCAAACTGGGACTTTCTAGCTATTCTCAGTGGCCATAGCCTGCGGCATACAGCAACCGGATCTTCACCAACCCGCTGCAGGAGCAGGCGATACCGGGCAACCTCCACTCCCGGGGCTTAGAAACTGGGCAAGCTTATGCCTTTCAGCTCCCAGTTAACCAGGAAAGTTAACGGCTTCGAAGACAGCCTTGGCTAAGTTGTTGAACAACAGCAAACTTAACTTTCCACTACAGTGACTCCAACGAGGGCGAAGAAAGAGTCCGGAGAACTGGAGCGACGCTACCCGCGCGTCAAGGCTAGGAGTCGTTCGTGCCGCTGACTTGACAGGCTCTCCGCCTCGGCCCTCCTGCAGCCCCTCCTGCTGACTCGACGGAAAACTCGCACCCCCCCTCCCGCCAACCGGCGCGCCTCTTCAGCGGCCGCCCGCGCGCTCTCGAAGGTCACCTCCTCCGGCGCATCGCCGCCCTCTTCGTCTTCCGAGGAACAAGGCTCGGCGGCTTCTTGTCTCTTCGCCATCGCGCGGGTCCGACGCCCGGCCATCTCCCTCATTCGACTTCCGGCTGACCCTTCATCCCGTGACCCGGAAATCAGGAACCGGAGGAAAGGGAAATGGGAACGTCCAGTGACAGCTTCCGACATTCCCGTCGTGGAAGGGGCCGTCTCCCTGACACCGGAAGCTGGTTGTTACTCTGATATAGCCGGCTCTATGGTAGAAACATCTGTACGACGTTTGATTGTGATGGGGCGGAGGGTGGTCAGTCTTGTGGCACTTTAAATAGGAACATCTGTATTGTGCCAAGCTGGAGCCACGCTAGGTCTCTTAAGGAGCCCCGGCGGTCTCCTTTGCTGACAGCAGGAACGTGGTTAGGATTAAGCACGACGGGCGTTGTTCAGCCTAGGACCGGCAGGAACCCGTTAGGATCATAGCGGATTGCTGGTTCCGCCTCGTGTTCCCAGGTGGCGCTATATCTGCGATTTAGTACCATTAGCTGATTTTTAGTCCTATTTTGTAACAGTTGATAGGGGGTATTGAGGGATTTCGGTTTCCTACCAGGAGGAGCCAGACCTCCTTTAACTGTCAAGGCGAGATTTTGATTTTAGACGTGGTTCTCTTGCCTACTAGACAAAAAAAAAATAATCAGTTTTAGTTTATGTATGGTTTGTTACAGGGGTCATTTCGTAGAAAAAGAGGTGCAGGAGCTCATTAGCATAACTCATTAGCGTAACTTATTTGCATATGCCACACCCCCTGACATCACCGGAAGTGTGTCAGAAGGCAACACCCACCTCTCAGGCTCCACTGGACTGTTCTGGATTGCTGGTTATTGGGGGGAGGGACAAGCAGATCTGCCCTCGCAGAGGAGGGAGAGCTTGTACCTGAATAAAACTTGGCCTTAAAGGTGCCACTGGACTGTTTTGGACCGGGGGGAGCTCTGCAACTTACCTGGCTGCTTCTTGCTCTGACTGAGGGCTGCTGGGAG